CGCGCCCTGCCAGCCCTTCTCGTGACGGTCGCGCGTCCCAGCCAACCTTCACGATCTGTTCGTCCGTCACGCACCCTTGCGCGCCCAGCGCCACTCGCGTGCATTCGCTGCTCGATACCCGTACGTCGCGTACGTCCATCGTGTTCATTCCCCTATCGCGCGCATCACGACCCGATGCGCGCCTCACGCTCGATAGCCGATCCTCCTCGACCCCAATGCCGTCCGACTCCGTTGGCCCGCCCGATGGCCATGGGTCCCATCCATCCATCCCAATGCAATCACCAACTCTCCAAATCCACCCATCCTCCGTTCTACTCTTACCTCCCTTTCGGGCCACCATCTTGCGAACTCGCCTTTTTCTCGCACAAGGCTTGCACCAACACTTCTCCTCTTTTGCTTTTTCCTTGTGTTTCCTTCGAGCTCGTTTGGTCTTGCTCCTCCTAGGCTTCAACTTTGCTTGTGGACCACATCCCTTTGGCCAGTCTCTTACACATGATGGTCGATTATTCGGGCTTGATGGCTCTTCCAACATGTTCTCTAACCATAAAACGAGACCATCGTCACCTTCATCGTCCGACTCACCGGGGTTGATGACCACTTCCGTATCAGCGTGTCCCTGCGCACCACTGTCTGCCAGCGTGCTGCCAGCGCGCCCATGTGCGCGGGCTGCACCCGTTAGGCACCCAACTCGCGTGCCTTCCGTTCCTTCGAGCCACCTGGTTCCTTCGCCATCCCCACCAGGTTCTAATACTTTGATAACCATCCCAAAACCTCCAATAGCACTTCCTTCCAAGGCGTGGTCTCGCCCGTGCACGTCTACGCCAATGCGCGTATTCGCGCCCTTCCTTGCGCCCGTTTGTTGCCCGTCTCGGGACCATCTTCTCGCACTCTCTTGCGCATGTTACCACTTGCATGTTCGCCTGCTCACGGCCATCCCATGTGAGCGCTGTCCACCCAACATCCACCCCTCGCGCACCACTTATCGCTTCCGTAATGTAAACACCCAAGGCCTTAGCCACCAAGTGTCGTGCGCGT